CTTCAAATGTACAGAATGACCTACAGGTATGGAAGCGTAAAAACCATTGTGGAGTAAAACTGCTTTGAGACTTCTTTTTGAAGAATCTATAAAAAGACACCATTGCTCTGAATCATATTGTTAAATTGACCCATCAGACCTTCAACATCGATGCAATAAACCAACTTGTCTTCCTGGGCAAAGTAAGGAACAAACTCCTTTTCACGATGTCTGAACCATGAAGTTGACACTCCTGGCAACGATAAATTCCTGCTTTTCAGCCTTGATCTGAGTAACTCAGTGGCATCTTCTTCAAGACGTTTCACTTCTCATCCAAGAAGTTTCTTCAGTTCAAAGTAAATGGCGGGGACTGGAAAGATATGAATCCCACCAGAACTGAACTGAACTGAACAGAAAAAGCTCCTTGGATGAGAAGTGAAACATATTCAAGAAAGTCCAGTTGATGTTTGGAAAAAAAAAAGGGAGTGGGAGCTTATTTTGGGGCTCAAGTGCAAAGTATTCCAAGCTACCGCTTAGCAACTAAGAGGCCCTGTTTTACCTAGTTCAGTGTTTCTCAACCTTGGAGACTTTAAGTCCTGTGGACTTCAACGCCCAGAATCCCCCAGCCAGCACAGCTCCAAGGTTGAGAAACACTGACCTAGTTGCTTTAGACAGGATTCCATATTATCCCTCCAGTTTCTTGTTTGCGACTCTTTTTTTCCTGTCACTTCTCTTTTCCGTCAGACTGAGCTCAAAGCGTAATTTTTTAAGTCCAAAATTTCCATTGCTAAGTGAGACAGTTGTTAATTGAGTTTTGCCCCATTTTACAAACTTTGCCACAGTCGTTAAATGAATCGCTGCAGTTGTTCAGTGAATAACACGGTTGTTAAGTGGCTTCCCCATTTACTTTGCTTATCAGAAGTTCACAAAAGGTGATCATAGACCCCGGGGACACCGCGATCATCATACGTGGTCTGACTTTCGATCAGCTGACCATGGGGATGCTGCAGTGCAAGTGTGAAAATGGTCAAAAGTCACTTTTCCATGCCGTTTTCATTTTGAACCGTCATTAAATGAATGGTTGTAAGTCAAGAACTACCTGTACGAATAAGATGCATTTGCACAGAAGCCTGTTAACATTCCTCTTTTTTTTCATGATTTTTGGCCAGCGGACTTAGTCTAGTCTGCAAGAATCCGACCTTTGCATGAGCTACACATCAGACTTCCAGGTGTTTTATGTAAGAGCAGAAAGGGGATCCTTTGTTTGATGAAATGGTAGTTCCTCAATCTGCCCTTTGGTTGAAAATCAAAGCAGATGAAAGGCCTCAGAAGGTCTTTTGAGCCTTTCCTTGCAAATCTTTTAACTTGGAACCGATTTGGAGCCTTTGGCATGAATGAAAGCTGAACGAACCTTGCAAACGTTGAGAGCTGCCGCAGAGGTGAAGAATAGAAGAATGTAGTGATAGAGAGCTAGAATGCTATAGATTTACCGGCATTTGAATGGAGCTATGTGACTTGATTTCTTTTTAATCTAAAGCTAATTTTTTCAGCCTAAGGGTTACTGTGACTAAGATGCGTGTGGATAGACTCTAGAACTGTGAGGGCAAACCTATGGCATGTGTGCCACAGGTGCCACACGGAGCCATTTGTTAGGGCACGCAAGGCATTGTCCTGTCAGCTCCAGCACATATGCGCCTGCTGGCCAGCTGTCTTCGGCCTTCTTTTTCAGCCGTTTTTCACCTTCCGAGGCAAAAAAACCACCCAATGTGCAAACCAGAAGTTCGGGAATGGATTCCCCTCTTCGCTTTTGGCACATGATCCGAAAAAAGTTAGCCTAGAAAATTCATTTGCTTGCCACAAAGGCTCTGCCAATTACCTCCTCGAGACCTATAAGATCTCACAGATTAGGCCTCCTCCGAGTGCCATCCGCCAGCCAGTGCCGGCTGGCCACTACGCGGAGGAGAGCCTTTTCAGTAGCAGCTCCGACCCTTTGGAACGATCTCCCCGTGGAGATTCGTACCCTCACCACCCTTCAGACCTTCCGCGCAGCCCTCAAGAGCTGGCTATCCCATCAGGCCTGGGGGTAAAGATTATAATTCGCCCCCACCCGAATGCTGAATGAATGTTGCTTATTCTTTTAATTACGTGTTATGTTATATGTTATTGTATGTATCCCCTCCCATATATGTTGTTAGCCGCCCTGAGTCCCCTCAGGGAAAAGGGCGGCCTATAAATAAACTTATTCTAATTCTAATTCTAATTCTAATTCTAATTCTTTCATGAAGATGGAGACAGAGACTCATATTGTCTTTCTATTTTTCCTCTATTTTTTTCTTGCGTCTTGTTTGACTCTCTATTGAAACGGTTTCTTTAAGCTGCTCGCGGGAGGAAACCCAGCCTTTGAAAAATTAGTAGAGGGACTGCATTGGACCTGAAGCAGGCCTTTTTTTCCTCTTTTTTGTACTGAAGTCTTGTCGTAATCAGCAAATCCAAAGCCAGGGCCTTCGTGCTTTTTCTGGGACAAAACGCCAAGGCCCCCCAGGGTAATAATCTTAGTGGGAAACTTCCATGTGTAACTCTAGGTATGGATTGAAAGCCAACCAATCTGGTTTTCTTTTTCTTTTTCTTTTTTTGGTTAACAGTTGACTACAACGATGAGTTCCCTAAGGTATAACCTCGACATTTTCACTCTTTGGAAGTAAAAAAATAAATAAAGAACCCATCTTTCTATTTTACTTTTGGGAAGTAAAGAAGCAGACAGTTATTTATAGTGGTCTCTGGAGTTAATCTCATCTTCTGCAGCAGTTATCAGGGGTGATGTAGAAAAAAATAGTTCAGATGACAATAGGTCACTGGAGTTGTGGTGTTTTTTTTGTTTTTGTTTTTAATGAGAGAAAAATATACTTCATCCTTCTGGTTTATTGTGGGCCCATGATAAAAATAATCACAATAATGTCCAAATAGGAATCATAGGAAAACATTCTGGTGTGCAATCGTCTGTGAAAAGCACAATTACTGAAAAAAACAGTAAAATTTTTATTGCAATAAATATAAAATATGTTTTCCTTTCACCAATTGTTTCTGTTAAGGAACTGGGAAATCTTCATTACGTTTGTTGAAGAGGGTCCCTATGAATTTATTTACTTTTTGTCCTCATTTTAAAAAGAGAGAAGAGAGGCTAAAATAGTCAATCCATGGCACTCGGCCGGAATCACTTTGCATTTCGACAATTCTTTTAAAAAAACAACCTTATTTTTCCTTTACTTCAGTTTAGGACCATTTTAAAAGTTCACTTATTTTATGGCATTTTCTGTTATGGTTATAATTCACGTGAGGAAATAAACTTCGAGACTCTTCTCAGTTTAACATGTAGACAAGCACATGGGCTCATCTCTATGGAAACTCTCTGGTTTGTGTTTGCATTTAATTGTAATTGTCCAGAGCCTCTCCAAATAGATTTTATTTAAATACACATACCTGTCACTTCTTAGAAAATTCACTATATTTAACATGTTAGTCTGGTTTCTAGGTAGTTACACAATTTATGGTGCACAGTGAATTGGATAGTTTTATATAGAAAAAGTTAAACCTTTTTCTCTGAAAACTTTTCAACTTGGCAAGTTTGGCACAATCTTTCCTACTGTTGCTTTCATAAGTGTGCTAGCTGAGACCTTTAGAATAGGTTTTAGCCAGTATCAAATCTATACGAGGTAGCATTTGTTCTTGTACGTATTATTAAAACCTAGCTGCTAAAAGAAAGAAAGAAAAAGAGATTTAGATGGCTAATCTTCCCCAGTCTGATGTCTCTAGCTTGTCATGTTATTTGGAGACTATACGGCTCATAAACCAACAGATCACAAGTTTGAGAATAAATTTCATTATCATGACTTGAATCTTGAATATATAATCTGTAAAAATGGAAACACTGGATCTAAATCTTATAGAAAATTCTTTATATTTGCAGCTAAAACTACAACTGAAATAAAATTATATGAAGATCATAATACTAGAATAAATTATCCCAAAGGTACTTTTTCACACAGTGACTGGATCTTCTTTGTTTTCCTCCTTGAAAACATCTCACTTCTCATTCTTGAAGCTTCTCTTGGGCGAGAAGCAAAACATCTTCAAGGAGAAACAAAGAAAGTCCAGTTTCCTTTTGAAAAAGCACCTTTGAGACATCTGTGACCTCGGTGACTAAGAATATTCATAGTCTACAATATATTGAAAAAATATAAGTTATCAGAGCTAAAAAAAGGGCATCTTTTTATTTTATGAAACTTATAAATGATGAAAAATCCTGGTAAAACAGATTGTTAGTTTAATGTAATGATTTTTTTAAAAAAAAATTGTTCTGTAAATAAAAGAATACATTTTATTCTTTTAGGGGGAAAAAATCACATGACTGTAGGGTGTTGCAAATGGTCTTAAATGTAGACTAGTTGCCGAGTGACTGCCCTGGTGGGGACCAGCTATCCAGATAACAAATAACTTTTTTGAGGGTTGTTGTAACTTCGAACAATTGCTAAGCAGTATGTCATAATTTGAGGACTACCTATATTAGGGAGACAGGGGTGGGTTCCAGCTTCTTCTACTGCCCGCTGAGGGATGTGCTTTAGGTGCTTGCGCTCTTGATGTGCAGTAGGTGAAAAAATGCTTCTGCGCATGCGCAGAAGCAAAAAACAATATGGCGGCTCCTACGGCAGTGCCTATAGAACTGGTTCAGGGGTGTGGCTGTCCGAATTACTACCTATTGGCCGAACCGGTCCGAACCAGTAGGAACCCACCTCTGTAGGAAGGGATATTAGGAAAACCTTCACAGTTTTAAGTAGGAAAATGAAGACTGAAACAAAAAAAATACATTGTTTTGTCAACCTCAGCAACTTTAAGATGTATGGACTTCAACTCCCAGAATACCCCGTCAAACTATTTAAGAAATACCAGGTTTTTAAAAAGTGTATTATCCTCTAATCTTGTGTCTTGAAAATATCTATATTCTTGACCTTTTTCTGTCTTTTCAGAGGAAGACAGTGGTGACCTCCTCAAGACGGGGATCAGTTTTCCTGGCACGCCAGAAGAAGAGCTAGGTACAAACAATATTTTTTAGCTGAACAAAACTTGTCTTGGTCAATCATTATATGCCACCTAATGCTTCAGCTGTTTAAAAGCAACTGTGTGATTACATCCACTTTTTGTTTTATTTCATAATTACATGGAATAGGATTTTAATTTCAGATTCATGACCAACATGTATTTCTCACCTATTTCCTATATTCATTCTACACACCATGACCACTTCCAGCTTTTCTCACTGTGTGTGTTGGGCACAGAAAAAGCACTCAAAGCACTCAAAAACAGAGCTTTAAAACAAGGTGGCATCTCTATAAAGGTCTGGATGAATTACGTTCATTGGGAAATCTCAGGAGAGAGGGCAAACTGTCCATTTTAAGGGCTGCACTTCCTTATTTAAAATTTTTGGAACGTACTGAGTTTGTGATCTAGGCTCTTTTCATACAAGAAAAAAAATTCACACATTGACATAAGAAAAATTATTTTATCTCATACATACATGAGTGGTAGGTAAGTGTAAAATACACACACACAAACTTATATATATAGAAATGCATATATTTATAAATATAATACATACTATATGTATATACTGTATACATATATATATATATGTGTGTGTATATACAGTATGTGTGTGTACAGAGACATATGTTAATTGTTTATTAATATTTTAACATCATCACAATTTATTCAGTTTAATAAGAATATTAAATATCCACAGCAATGCAGCTAAAATGTCCACAGTAAGAAATAAAATTTAAAAAAAAACAAAGGCCCGTGTCATACAGATGAAGTATAGTGAAACTGCACAATATCCAACACTAAACATAGATGGGATCCCATCTCTTTCCAAATGATCTGGAAGCCTTGTATTTATAATAATTTCCAGAGAAGAGCAAGTCTGATCATGCCTTATACGTCTTGTTAACAAATTAGATGGTTTTCGTCTGTCTTCAGAAGGCAGTTCCTGAAAGTACTTAGAATCCATGTAGAATTTAATAGATTAAGACCAAACTCTAATGGCACTCAGAAGTCAATGAAAAGTGGAGGAGAGTCCTATAGCTGGCATCTTCATGGAATGAGCACCAGTCAGTGTGTCTCTGCCTTTTACATTAAATTGTAGCATCTGAATGATCTTCTACTGCCTTGTAAACGGATTGCAGTATCCAAACAAGATTTTGTGAAGGCATAAATTATTCCAAGGTGCTTCTGCACCAGGTATGGCCACAACTGAGGCAGCAGAGAGAGCTTCGCAAAGGATCCTTGGCCATAGTCTCAATTTGGCCAACCAACAGAAGAGGCTTGTCCAGGAAGAACTCTGCGTTCCAGAGCTACTTCTGCGCCATCTCGTGAAGAGATAACATTAGAGATGATGAGGCATTTGGGGGCACAAACTACGGCTCCATCTTGCTTGCTTTAGCTTCATCCTACTTAGGCCTCAACATTTTCAGACACTGGGACGACATTGACGACATGTCCTACATAGGTTGGGTAGCAATTTAGATTTGAATGACATCATACTGCTGATACCATGAAAGAACACAGGTTCTGTTATATCCTGGGGTGTGGCATGAAAGCAACACAGCCAGATAACAGGTCTAACTCTCCTTTATTGCTCCAACTTTGCCCCCAATGTCTCCACATTTACTACGAGTCCTGGAGCAAAGCTCTCACACACACTCGGCTGCGAGCGGTCCAGTAAGAAGGGGAGCAAAACAGTAACCAGAGCCAGACGTTCAGTGAAGCAGGCAAACTGGGCAAGCACAGTAATCTCCAGACATCCGCAAGTGCACATGAGGCTCCACAAATTCAATGCTTGTTCCCAACCAATGCCCCTCCCACCAGCATTTCCTTACATCCCAGTACCCAGGTGTGCCTTATGAAGGGGGCGGGGCACTCTCCTCCCTCGTATCCGGTTCAGTCTGTGTTGTTCTCACTTTCTCTCTTGTCTTCATGCTCTAGAATCAGGAGGGGGTGGTCCTTGCTCATCGCCTGAGCTCTGTCTCTTGTTCATCTTGCCCCTGTTCCTCCCTGTCTACAAGCTGTTCTAAATCTGAAATGCCTTGGCCTGACTAGCTCTGCCCTTCCCCAGTTTCCTCCAAAGCCAACGGAACCGCCCCCTTGATCTCTATCGTCTCCTGTTCCAGCTCATCTTCCCCCACAGATTCAGCTCTGACAGGGGCATAAGAGGGTCTCCATTACCTTTCCCACCCCAACCATGGGCCCTATCGAAACCATGAACTCCAGAGCTCTCCTTGATCGAGCTCCTAACACCAAAAAGCAAAGGGACTCTGGCATCAACCCAGAAATCAGATTCAGAAGTTTAGGTAGGAACCCAACAGTGAAACCAGGTCACCAGAAAGATCCCTACATTTTTCATATTGCCCAGCAATGTTCCCTCTAAGCTGCGCGGCTGCGCAGTCGCATACGTCACAAGAAAACTCCACTGCCGCGCAGGCGGGACAAGAGGGAAAACATCAAAGAAATGGTGGAATGAACAGAATGAGGGAAAAAGGAGGGACAGAAGGATAGGGAAATGAAGGGCAAAAGGGAAAACAAGTTTTATTTCGGTTAAACATGAAATAGAAGCGTTAAATGTGTCCCACTGCCAGTTGCCCGTAGCAAGTTGTCCACTTCCCACTTTGTAAGGCCGGACCTCCCACCTAAAAAAGGAAGGTAGAAGGAGGCTTATTGTACACGTGGACTTGATAAGTGAAAGGAAGGGAAGGAGGTAACTCAGCAGAACAGAAAACCAGAGCCAGGAATTTGAAAAGAAATAGAAACACGGGGTTTGGGTGGGTGGGAGAGGTAAGGAATTTCATGTCTGTGACAGGTACATGTTGTCATTCAAGCAAAATCAATTTGAAATAGCCAAAAGGTTAATTGTTTCTATTCAGACAAAGGTATCCCTGTGTTTAACCTTTAACTATAATCAGTGGAATATAAAAATACCTAATCTAGGCTAGACCAATTCCAAAGAAACGTATGATGTATAAAATACTGTTTTTTGACCATAATTTACTCAAGCAAGGATTCTAGTTAACACCTTCTGTCATCTTTGTCACTCATTGTGTAGATATTTGGGCGGGGGGGGGGGAGAGTAGGTGAAAGAGAATCATGTGGCGTAAACTCTCTTCACCTTCTGCCTTGTGTTCATGGAAAATATGCAGTTAAGGCAATAGTGACTACTTAGCTTCCTGGCCAATCATGTTTCAGTTTCATAGAAACTGATAAATGTGTTGAATTGGATAGTTATATCCTTAAGTGAACACTTACACTGGGTCTTCTGCTTTGAATGAATAATGAGGACACATAATTTCACACTGATTCTGTTTTATTCTCCTTCCTCTTTGTTCTTTTACAGTTAGAAGCCTGTAAGAAAAGTGAACTGTTCCAGGTGTTTTCCATTTTATAACAAGTTGGGAAATAATTATAGAACGCTGCATAAAATTAGCACTTTTATACTCACAAACATGTTAGTTTAACCTGCACATTACCGCTAGGTAAACATTATTTAAAACAAAATGATTGAATTTCTAATATACCATATGATGATTAAATTTACATGTTAATTTATTTAAAGCATTTGTATATTCTTTCCATCACAAATATTTTTCACAAAGGGATTTGCAATGCAAATTAAAAGTACCTACTATCACGTACTTATTTCTTCCCAAACTAATTGTGCAAAATGTTTTGATTTTTTCTAACATTCAGATAATTTAAAGGAGCTCTTACACAGAACCTGCCAATAAGAATAATTTAATTAGCAGACTTTCCTATTTATTCTGTTCACAAAATTAAATTCTAACAAATTGCCTTACACTAATGGGAAGGAAAGAAGAAAAAATGTGTGTGGCTATATCAGCAAGAACAAGAGATTTTGATTTATTTTAACTATTGTAAAAATAGGAGGAGGAGTAAGCAATATAAAAACTACATTGGATGGATTAGCAACTCAGCATCTTAATTTTAAATGATTATTTGTAGGATTATTTTGAAGACAAATAACTAAAGCCAAGAGGAAAAGGCTGTAGGTGTGATTAATTATGTGCAATCTAGTTGGTGTCGACTCTCAGCAACCACATAGACTTTCTCCAGCCTCCTTCAGGTCCCCAAATGGTGCACCCTTCACCATTGCAATTGAGCCCATTCATTTTGCTGATGATCTTTTCTTTTTTCCTTTCCACCTTTCTCAACAAGTGGCCTTTTCAAGAGAACAAGTGTATGCGAAATATTATTTCTGCCTCTAGTGAGAACTCTAGGTTGATTTATTCTAGGATCCATTTGCTTGTTTCCTTTGCTATCCATGGTATTCTCAAGAATCTTCTCCAGTACCAAAATCCAAACATGTTGGTACCCTTTCTATTCTTCTCCTTCAAGGTCCAACTTTCACTTCCATAATGTGTCATAGGAAAAACTGTTTTCTGCATGATTCTGATCTTTGCAAGCACAGACATATCATGGCATCTGAATACATTTTTCAAGGTCTTTGTGGCTAGTCCACCAAGTTTTGGTCTATGGCATATTTCTGGACTTGTTGGTTTCTTTATACTTAATAGTCCCGTCCCCTCCCCCCAAAAAACAGAATCTATCAACCACTTCAGTGTCTTTCTTATCAATCCTGAGACTGGTTTATGTTATATTGTCACTTATTTAGTCTTTTTATATCTGTATGTAATTTTAGGTCCATTTTTTTCAATTTCATTACTACAGATTGCTGATCCTTTACAATTTTAGCTATCAGGGTACTATTACCTGTATCAATATAGCACAAATTATTGGTATTTCTTCATCCAGTTTTAAAACCACATTCATCTTTTTCCAGTGCAGTCTCCCTCAATGTGTCTATATATTACTAAAACTCTCATGTCTGTAACCTTTGACTGAGTGAAACAGTGCATCAGAAGGAAAACGTTATCATCAACAAATGTACCTTAAATGGACTGACTAGGGTCCTGAAGTCCATTATTCCCAAGGAAATGGAATTCGGGAAAGTTTTAGTAATATATAG